TGGGGGCAGGTTTAATTAGACCTTTCCTCTAGACACTTCTGGAAGGTCTTGGAATTAAAAACATACAGCTTTTATAAACCCACTCACACACTTGGCAAGCTGAATTGTCCACAGACTTTTCCAAACCTTAATAATATAAAACAAAACCATAAAAAATAATAATAAAAAAAAAGCAACCATAAATAGGAGATAGAATAAATTGTATGCAGTGCAGTCATTTCAGAGTACGGTGCAACCATTCTAAACCCTGAGGTATCTCTGTGCTGATGTTAGATTCCAAAATGCATTGTTACACACCTCACTTTTTTCGCTTGGTAGTGTGGGTGTTTCTTTTGAAAATGATGAGTAGGTTGGAAGAGGGCAGGGAATAGGGGTGGGTAAGGTGAACAGAGTCAAGCTGATTGCTGCAGAGTCCCTGGCATTAGTTCAGGTGAGATGAGACCCGAGTAGGCCAGTGAGCCTGGAGGAGAGGCTTTCTGTGTGTTTAATTGATTTCCAGCTTTTTTTCTCTATTCATTTAGGTAATACACATTTCTTTTGTGAATTTTTATTTAAATTTTTGTTGTTGTTGTTACTGGATCTACAAACAGCCCAACTCCAAGGAATCTGGCATCTGTCAATGGAGCATACAGGTGACTTCATAATCTAACCACATTAGTAACTGGCAAAATTGGAAGTAATTTCTCTCTGTTTAAATGGCAGTGAAACAAATTTTCAGAGCAGGTTTCTTCAACTGAACAAAATATTTTGAACCTTAGAGGTGGTATGGCTCTCCTGATCAGGGAGGGACTGTGAAAGGTTTGAGCTCTGACACTGCCCAGCTCTCTGGATACAACCAAGTGACTTTCTTTGAGTGGGGAGAAGTTTCCTGACTCCTCATACTACCTTCCTTAGGGTAGACTTTGGGCCTGCAGTGATACTAGTCCTAACTTGCTCTTAGTTAAGAAGAGTTCATCTTTAGAAACATGACAGCAAAGCAACTCAAACTCCAAAGAGGCATTAGGCCATAGATTTTCTTAATAATAGTCTACATTTTCTTAATAATACATTTTCTTAATAATACATTTTCTTAATAATAGTCTATATGCTTAGAAAAGGACATACAGATCTTAGTGTAACATACTTAAATAAAATAGTTTCTTTCATCTGCTTCATAAGAGAAAGCAAAATATTTTGGCCGGGCACAGTGACTTACGCCTATAATCCCAGCACCTTGAGAGGCTGAGGCGGTTGAATCACTTCAGCCCAGAAGCTCGAGACCAGCCTGGGCAACATGGTGAAACCCCATCTCTACAAAAAATACAAAAATTGGGCCGGGCGCTGTGGCCCACACCTGTAATCCTAGCACTTTGGGAGGCCGAGGCAGGCGAATCACCTGACGTAAGGAGTTCGAGACCAGCCTGGCCAACACGGCAAAACTCCGTCTCTACTGAAAATACAAAAACTAGCCAGGCATGGGTGGTGCGCACCTGTAATCCCAGCTACTCAGGAGGCTGAGGCAGTAAAATTGCTTGAACCCAGGAGGCAGAGGTTGCATTGAGCCAAGACTGTGCTACTATACTGCAGCCTGGGCGACAGAGTGAGACTCCATCTCAAAAAAAAAAAAAATTAACCAGGTGTAGTGGCATGTGCCTGTAGTCCCAGCTAGTCAGAGGGCTGAGATGGGAGGATTGCTTGACCCCAGGAGGTTGAGGCTGCAGTGAGCCAAGATTGCACCACTGCATTCCAGCCTGGGCAACAAAGTGAGACACTATCTCAAAAAAAAGAAAAAAAAAATTATATATATATAATGTAGTATTGTTCAGAGGGTCTTGGGATTTTCCTGAGGGTCCTAACCTACTTCTCTGTCCTCATCAGCTACCCATCCTTCTCCACCTACGTTGTGCCCCTGCAGGCACACACAGGTAACCTCCAAGAGTGCAGTGTCGGTGCTCCTTTAGCCCAACACCTATGCCTTAGCCTGTGCTGCTCCACTGGCTAAAATGTGCTTCACCCTTACGTGCATAGTGACACTTATTCAGCTTTCAGAGTCGAGCCCAGGGGTCATGTTCTGCCTGTCATTCCCTCCAGACAGCTGATGAATGACCTCCTGCTCTACGGGGCCTTGATACCTTACATGATTTCATTTATCTCCCTGTTGTCTAATTATTTGCATGTTTTATCTCCCCTGACATAGGTACCTGACATAACTATTTAATTTTTACTTTCCATCTAAATACCACTAAAAATTCAAAATTAATCCTACACTGAACCTTAAACACTTCTTTATTTTTAATAACTATATGTCTCATCCTGTGGATACATCTTCACTTACACATTGTGTCCTTTACTGTTGAGCATTTGTGTTCAGTATTTGCTGTTAAAAGCCTGGCTGTGACTATCTTATGGCTGAATCTTTGTGTACATGTTGTGTGAATTGTTTTCTTAATCTGCCGTCTTAGAAGGAAAATTATGGTTGTGTATGTGTTCCATATTCGTTATGCATCGGTGGCTCTGGCAGATACATGCCCCTTAGGAACTAATGCTTTCTGATTCTTTCTGTGCCTCAGCTCTGTGCTTTTTACTTTGAGAGTGATCATGGTTTTCCTTAACATCTTTTGTCCTGAATGTTGAGCAGTTCACCACAGCATGTGTGTAGTATGAGGAGGAAAAAAAACATAAAGAACTTGGCAATTTTTTGTTCCAAGTGAAAGACCTAGACAGTTTTTTGTTGTTTTTATTATTTCCCATTGCAACCCTTAAATATGGTTTGGATTGCTTCCACCTCGTGGCTGTTGTGAATAGTACTTCTGTGAACGTGGGTGTTCAAGGTCTTTGAGGCTGCGCTTTCAATTATTTTGGTTATAGCCCCAGAAGTAGGATAGTAGGATTGTTGGATCGTATGTTTTTTTTTTTTTTTTTTTTTTGTTAGCAGGATATTACTCTTTCACCCAGGCTGGAACACAGTGACATGAACACAGCTCACTGCAGCCTCAACTTCCTGGGCTCAAGAGGTCCTTCTGCCTCCACCTTCCCAGTAGTTGGGACTGCAGGTGCACGCCACCATGCCCTGCGAATTTATTTTGATTTTTGTAGAGGCAGAGTCTCACCATGTTGCCTAGGCTGGGCACAAATTTGTGGCCTCATGCAATCCTCCCGCCTTGGTCTTCCAAAGTGCTGGGATGACAGGTGTGAGCCACTGCGCCTGACTACTATTTTTAATTTTTAAATTACTGTTATTTTTAAAAACAAGAGTCTTGCTCTGTTGCCCAGGCTAGAGTGCAGTGGTGCAATCATGGCTCACCGCAGCCTTGACCTCCCTGGCTCAACTGATCCTCCCACCTCAGCATCCCACATAGCTGGGGCTACAGGCGTGTGCTACCATGCCCAGCTAATTTTTAACTTTTTTGTAGGCATGGGATCTCTCTATGTTGCCCACGCTGGTCTCAAGCTCCTGATTCAAGCAGTCCTCCCGCCCCAGCCTTCCAAAGTGCTGGGATTACAGGCATGAGCCACCATGCCTGGCCAGTCTCTTACTGTTAAGGAATTAAAATCCAGTTAAAAAATATTTAGCCTCATATATATATTTCTAATATATGGAAGTTTGTATATATTTCTATTATATCTAAGATATAATACAATTGTCATGTTATCCCCCAAATAAAGGTGATCTCCAAGATCAGCACTGGAAGGTAGGAATTGTTCGGTATGACCCAACTATTTGGATCTGGATTTTTTCAGGGAGGAGGAATCAGATTTAGATGACTGGCAAGGAAAGATTGTACATTTTACAGAAGGAGGTGTTTTATAGGGGTGGAACTTTGGCTTAGTTCCTGTCATTTTCAGCAGTATCTAGTATAGCTACCTCTTATCTCAGGGCAGCCTCACAAAGTCATTGCCATCTGTGATATGGTAGCAGAGATATGAGCCCTGGAGTCAGTCAGACTTCATTTCAGAATGCTGACCCCACCAGTTACTAGCTGTGCCTTGAACAGAACAAAAGAGAATACTGGTTTTGTTCATTTGTAAAACTGGAAAAATAATACTTTATGGAGTTGCTTTGAGAATTCATATATGAAAATAGAGTGCATGGTACATACCTGCAGGCCCTCCTTGCACCCATCATCCCACACCTCCACCTTCCAAGGTGCATGTTCAGTGTCCCTTACCTGTGTTCCCGCAATGGTTGGTTATCATAGAAGCTGTCACATTGGTGTACTTGTCCACGTTGGCACATTCTATTAGTTTGTGAGTTCCTTATCTTTGAATCTCTAGCAACTTAGCAGAGGACCTAGCTCATAGTAGGTACCAAAGAAGTGTAAATATTAATAGAATGAATGTATGTCTTGCTGTTTTACTTCTCATGGGAGGAATGTGTGCCTATTTCAGCAGGACGATAGATACCGTTATATAGTGTAGTCAGTAATTACGAACTAGTCTAGTGGCTCTGAAAATTATTGCTGTTAGGACTCCTTTATACTCTTAAAAATTATTGTGGGCCCCAAACAGCCTTTGTTTATGTGGACTGATATCAGGGTCTTTAGGAATTTAAAATTAAAATATGATTTTTGAGGTAATGATAAACATGTTAATCATTTGAGGTAATGATTACATGTTAACACATTTTCATGAAAAATAACATTCATTCCTCCCATTTTTTTCTAATGATTTTACAGTCATTAGAAAATATTTTACAGTTTTCTAAGCCTCTTGCATGTCTAATTTAAAAGACAGATGGAGTTTACTGTTTACTGCAGTCTGTTGTGATAAGTCGTTTTGATTAAAGTATATGCAAAAAATCGAGCCTCACATAGATATGTAGTTTGAAAAAGGAAAACCTCCTGGACTCCCAAAAGGATCTCAGGGACTTCCAGGGGTCTTCTGAGAACGCGTGAAGAATCCCCGATGTAGTCTGAAAAGGAAAGTGTGGTGTCCAGATATTAGAGGATGGATTAGGGAGAAATCCCATGTGTTTAGCTCTCTATAAAACGGGTTTACCCGTTGTCATTTATTATTTGTAGGTTAAAAAAAGTCCTTCATGAAAAAGAAAGATCTTAAGCAACATGATGGATTCAGAAGCTCATGAAAAGAGGTCACCAATACTAACATCTTCAAAACAAGATATATCACCTCATATTACAAATGTTGGTGAGATGAAGCATTACTTGTGTGGCTGCTGTGCAGCCTTCAACAATGTCGCAATCACATTTCCCATTCAGAAGGTCCTCTTTCGACAACAGCTGTATGGCATCAAAACACGGGATGCAATACTTCAGTTGAGAAGGGATGGATTTCGAAATTTGTATCGTGGAATCCTTCCCCCATTGATGCAGAAGACAACTACACTTGCACTTATGTTTGGTCTCTATGAAGATTTATCCTGCCTTCTCCACAAGCATGTCAGTGCTCCAGAGTTTGCAACCTGTGGCGTGGCGGCAGTGCTTGCAGGGACAACAGAAGCAATTTTCACTCCACTGGAAAGAGTTCAGACATTGCTTCAAGACCACAAGCATCATGACAAATTTACCAACACTTATCAGGCTTTCAAGGCACTGAAATGTCATGGAATTGGAGAGTATTATCGGGGCTTGGTGCCCATTCTTTTCCGGAATGGACTCAGCAATGTCTTGTTTTTTGGCCTTCGAGGTCCCATTAAGGAGCATCTGCCTACCGCGACGACTCACAGTGCTCATTTGGTCAATGATTTTATCTGTGGAGGTCTATTGGGTGCCATGTTGGGATTCTTGTTTTTTCCAATTAATGTTGTAAAAACTCGCATACAGTCTCAGATTGGTGGGGAATTTCAGTCTTTCCCCAAGGTTTTCCAAAAAATCTGGCTGGAACGGGACAGAAAACTGATAAATCTTTTCAGAGGTGCCCATCTGAATTACCATCGGTCCCTTATTTCTTGGGGCATAATCAATGCAACTTATGAGTTCTTGTTAAAGGTTATATGAAAAATACCATCAGTTAAGTGCCATTTATCAACTGAATAGACCTTCTAAGAAGAATGCAGTTTGACCTCTTTCTTAATTGGCCGAATACAAGTTGGTGTCATGACTCCAGGGCACAGTGAGTTATGGGCAAAGCTGTTTTCCTTCAGCATCAACAAAACAGAATAAAAGGTTCCAGTAGGAAAATACAAAGTTTTTTGTTTTGTTTTGTTTTCTGTTTTGTTTTGTTCGGTTTTTTTTTTTTATCATTACCTAAGAGCTTTAGGCTAATTGCCTGGAAAATAGCTGTCCATCTGATGGCCTTTGACAGGGAACCTAATCCCCAAGATAGGATTCTTTTTCTCAAACCGGCCTTGAAGTCTCCTGCATTGAAACATAAGTGGCTGTGACTGGCCAGAGAGAAGGTCCTCAGGGGCCAGGGGCTCCTCAAGCTTCCTTTGTTACTCCATTGCTTGCTTCTCTGCCCTCAGGAGCAGCTGCAGAGGACCTTCTTCATTAGGCTCAAGCATATGACAAAGGGGCAGAACAGAGAAGACAAACAGCTTATTAGGTATAGCCTTTTCATGATAAATTGCTTGTATTATTTTTGAAACTAAGCACCTGTTGGATAGTCATTGTACTGTCTCTGTTTAGATATGGTAGATCAAGGAGCTATGAAAGTTCTCGTTTTGCTTTCTAGGTTTGGAAGTTTTCTGTTTGATTCTGACTGTGACCTTCAACCCTTCCAAAATGTCCTTATAATTTCACTTATTTCATTGCCAAAAGATGAAGGGACTTAAATTTTGTTATAGGTGTTCCATCCTGTTAACAAGTTTTCATTTTGTGTATAGATCAAATTCTGTTTAGCTTGGTTCCTTTCAGTTATTGGTGCCATCTCAGCAAAGGTCTGTGGTTATTTTTCCCCTTGAGTAGGAGTTGGTCATATTCAAACATCCTGTTCTCTTAAAACTCTCCTTTTAAAAAGTAAACGCTTCCATAACATTTTGTTTTGGAAGTCTATTAATGGAATCCCACTTACTTCCCCCTAGTTTCTAAATGTTACAGAGGGGGGAAAAGACTCAGGATAGTTTTAACCACCGCGCCCCCCCGCCCCAGTGTTCGCCGTCTTTTATTTTACTCTTGGAAATAGAGACTCCATTAGGGTTTTGACACTTTGGGAACCCCGTTTTACCATTGTGTCAGTAAAACAATAAGATAATTTGAGAGCATACAATCTAAATAAAGACATTCGAAGGGTTAGTTTGAATTCTAAAAGTAGGTAATAACCAAATAGCATTCTCATCCCTTAACAGACGAAAACTTTGTCAAAGGAATTAGAAAATGTGAAAATATTTTTTCCAGATGAAACTCATATGCCACTTCCAATTGACTAATGAAATATAAGAGACAGACTGAAAAAGTGGATTATGAATCTTAAAACCCTTTCTGTAAATATTATGTAGCTAAAGATTGATTTCCAGCTTCTGACATGACGGTAGGTTTCTTGTTAACCAGTTTTTCTTCTTTCTGGGTAATTGCATGTGAATATATGCACATACTGACCAAAATAAAATCGGGGCTGCAACTTGGTAGTTTACTGAAAGTTCCTGGGCAAATAGTCCATAAAAGCTGTTTACCTCTAAATGCACTAAGGCTGGTTAAATACAGTGAACATCCTTCTTCCAGCTGTAAAGGATGAAGTGTATTAAGCATTGGCCAGGCAGTAATAAAGGTAAATAGCTCTACAGCAGCTCTGTCTGACAATGTTGTGCTGGATATTGCAGTTTGCTTTCAAGGTGCAGATGTAAGGATTTAAAAAAAATAATAATTTGGCACCAAATAAATATGAGTAGCGTCCTTTGGCCTATTAAATAGAGTCAGGATTTGAAGGGAATTGAGTTTGAGAAATGAATAAATAAAGGCACCTTGGTGCCTGACCCCCTCATTCATGTGTGTGACTCTGTCAGTAGGTGTGTCCAGCTCCTCAGCCCAGGGCAGGTGGGTTAGCCTGGGAATAGACACCATTGGGCCTTTGGTTTTGTTGGGCTTCCTTTTGACTTTACACTCCATACAGGTGGTAGAAATCTGAGTTCTAAAGCACTTTTGTGAAATACAAGCAAAGTGAGAATTCTAAGGAAAATGCTTTGGTTTCTGCTGTCTCAAATAAGTGGCGTTTAAAAACAATTATTAATAAATATTTTTAATGGTTTTAACTCAGTATTTTTTTTTTTTTTAAATTTCTTTGTCACTCTTTACAGCTTTTGAAGACCAAACTGCAAATACATTACCAGGGATGGTTTTGTGTTGTCCTATAGGCTTCTTAAATTTGACAAAAAATTTAGCAGAACTTGTAACCAACAGCTTTGAACTTGAAGTCAAAATGTATTGTTAATAAGAGATTCTAACTATTGCTTTTACCTTCAGTGTGAACTAGTGTGGTAACAACTTTGAAAAGGCAGGCCAGGCGTGGTGGCCCATGCCTGTAATCCCAGCACTTTGGGAGGCCAAGGCGGGTGGATCACTTGAGGTCAGGAGTTTGAGAACAGCCTGGCCAACACGGCGAAACCCCATCTCTACTAAAAATACAAAAAATTAGCCGGGTATGGTGGCACACGCCTGTGATCCCAGCTACTCGGAAGGCTGAGGCAGGAGAATCGCTTGAACCTGGGAGGTGGAGGTTGCACCGAGATTGCACCACTGCACTCCAGCCTGGACGACAGAGCAAGACTCTGTCTCAAAAAAAAAAAAAAAAAAGAAATTGAAAAGACAAACATGATTGAATATCTGAAAAGCTTTAAAAGGGGCCTCTCTGTTACGTATGTGGCACAAATGGCTCATGAGTACAGGACACTTTTGGTCTTGTGTCCTATACTTCATGTGTGATGCCACCAGAAATGTTATGGATTCTGTATTGAACACACTGAGAGTGGTATGAGCCCTCAGGACTGCACCACAGAGTAAACACAACCTTGATATGGTGACGAATATATGTGTCTTTCTTGTTTCATTTGTGGTTGGGGACAAAATCGATGTCTTTGTCTAAATAGTCGATATTCATCTTAACATGGTTGGCTGTATAATCACCGGCTATATTGTGAACTGTGCAATAAAACAGAATCGTGTGTATATAATTACCTTTGGATACCTGAAATTCCCAAGCTTGGTTACAATGTAATGCTCAGTATAAGGCTGTGCAAACATGTAAGGGAATAATGGTGGTCGATGGGATATATGAAATGGGATCTAGAGGGCTTCGAGTGAAGCCAATCATGTTGAACTAACACTGTTTCAGTGTAGATGAAGTAGAGTGAGGCGTGTGCAGTCATAAAATGAAGGGTGGACAGGAGATTACATTTGAAGAAAGGGTAAGCACTCAGACTTGGTTTCTTTTAAATTAAAGTATTTCTTTTATCATGTGCAAATGCATATCAAAAACTTGAACAGGTATTCTCTTGAAATTTGAGGAGTTTTAGTTTTTAATGCTGTCTTTGCTTAATATTAAATATGTGTTGTGTGGGAGTCTCTAAATGTTTCCTCTTGAAGGTTCATTACTGAAAGTGGTTAAGCGCACAATGCTATTTTTGATAGTTTGAGTTTTATGACCATATGAGTTTAAATGAAATATGTTAAATGTTTCAGAGTTAACAATTTTTTTTTTGATAATTTGGAATAAAGTTTGTTTTTGTTTTAAACAAACAAAGTTTGTTTCACTCTTTTTGGTCTTCTCTTTATGGTTGAGTAGTTCCTTAATACTAGCACGTTCCTTTTTTGTGGTATTAATATATTAACCTGTTAGTCTTTTTATTGAGAAAACAGCACACTACCTTGACTTTTAGCAACTTAACCTGGGAATGTGGCAGGTAAAACATTCCTTTGTCTATCCATCTTATTTGGTCAAGAGGGTTTCATGTAAGTTTTTTTCCAGGTAGTTTAACTGCAAAGCTTTTTTTTTTTTTTTTTTTTTGGACAGGGTTTCTGTTGCCCAGGCTGGAGTGTAGTTGCACGATCATGGCTCACTGTAGCCTTGACTTCCTGGGCTCCAGCGATCCTTCCACCTCAGCATCCTGAGTAGCTGGGACTACAGGCACGTGCCGCCAAACCCAGCTAATTTTTGTAGAGATGGGGTTTCAGAATGTTGCCCAGGCTGGTCTTGAACTCCTGGGTTCAAGCAGTCCGCCCACCTTGGCCTCCCAAAGGTCTGGGATTACAGGCGTGAGCCACCGTACCTGGCCACACATTTTATTTCTTAACGGTCTTCCTCATATAATAAACTTCCCTACTGAGTTTAAACTTTCTTGGTTTAGCTTCTCAGTACTTTCTGTTGTAATAGAGTACCCTGATGTAATGTTTACTCCCAAGTTAAATAGTCTGGATGTTTGTCCTTTTCAGTTTTTTGTTTGTTTGTTTGTTTGGTTGGTTTTTTTTTAATACCTACTTTTGCTTTCAGAGCTGGTTAGGAGAGTGTGAAGCTTTAGCCACATTGTGAATTTGCTTGTTAAGCTTTAGGTTGTTTCCTGGCTTTAGAGATCGTTGCGATTGCCTGATAAGGACAGCAAGGTAAAGGAGCAGTCGCTTCTAAAAGTCCTGTTTTGGATGGAAATCCATCATAAAGAGAAAGTGCAATATCCTGAACTTGTAAATTTAGATTTGATAAAAAGGGTGTTTAATCATCATACATCTGGTGAAATCTGTTAACCCACCTGTAGCAGCCTCTGTAGAGTTCTAGACCTCCAGAGTGAGGAGTAGGCGTGACCAGGAACGGCCCTGGGGGATCTCTGCTTAGCTACAGAGCTCTCCCAATCCCCAAGAGACTGGCTTCCATCTTAAATCTTTTTATTTATTTATTTATTTATTTACTTATTTATTTAGAGATGGGGTTTCACTCTTGTTGACCAGGCTGGAGTGCAATGGCGTGATCTTGGTTCACTGCAACCTCCGACCCCTGGGTTAAAGCGATTCTCCTGCCTCAGCCTCCTGAGTAGCTGGGATTTCAGGCATGCGCCACCATGCCTGGCTAATTTTATATTTTTAGTAGAGACTGGGTTTCTCCATGTTGGTCTGGCTGGTCTCGAACTCCTGACCTCAGGTGATCTGCCTGCCTTGGCCTCCCAAAGTGCTGGGATTACAGGCATGAGCCACCACGCCTGGCTACCTTAAATCTATCTGACGTTCCCAACTAGGAAATTTTTTCTCCAAATGATTGTATGTGATTTTAAAGTAGAAATTGAAGGTAAAATAGGATTTATCTCAGTTCTTATCTCCCTTCAATCTATTCTTCATATTGTCAATTTTTTTTTTTTTTTTTAAAGATGGTCTCTGTCGCCCAGGCTGGAGTGCAGTGGCGAAATCTCGGCTCACTGCAACCTCCACCTCCTGTGTTCAAGCAGTTCTCCTGCCTCAGCCTCCTGAGTAGCTGGGATTGCAGGCATCCGTCACCACACCCGGCTAAATTTTTATTTTTTCAGGAGACAGGCTTTTGCGCCGGGCTGGTCTCACACTCCTGACCTCAAGTGATCCACCTGCCTTGGCCTCCCAAAGTGCTGGGATTACAGGCATGAGCCACCATGCCCGGCCGTCAGTAATTTTTTAAAATGTCACTTCAATAAGTGCCTTTCCTCTGTCATAAAGACCAGACACCTTGCTGTGGCCTACAGGAGACAGGATGATCCAGCCCTTGCCTCCCTTGCTCTCATCTCTAGCTAAAACTGCACTGCTGTCTCTGCACTCCAGCCACTGGCACTTCCTGATTACTTGGGGCATGCTGTACTCATCTTGCTCCCAGCTTCTGCCCATGTAGGTGCCCTCTGCCCTCAGCACTACCTTTCTCTACTTGGTTTATAGACTGCTGTCCTTCAGATCTCGCTTGAAATGTCACTTCCTTGGGGAAGCTGACTTACACTCTCAGGACTCGGTTAGGTTCCCCTGTCAGACTCCTCCTATGTCACCATGTTTCTATTTTTCACAGCACTTAACCTGTTTTAATTACATCGTGAATAGTTTTTGTTTGGATCTTGGGGAGCATGTATTCACTAGTACATTTTATTTGTGTTCTCTAATTTAAAATTTTTTCATCTTGCTTGATTTTTCTGCAGCTAAATTAGAAATTTGTAGTTTTCCCCCTAAAAAATGCAATGTTCTTTCTGTGATTTTCTTGTCACCTTTCTTCCAAGAAATCCATGTGCTCAAAGTGCTTGCTTGCAGTTTGCCCCATAATAAGTCATTGTTTAATCCAAAGATCTGAGCAGCAAACTGAGCTGATCCTTCTGGAGAAAGTATGGTTGAACAGCCGAGACCACTGGGTAGTTGAAGAGGAAACCACATATCCTGAACTCCTCAGTCTGGTGTGAGGGGAGGACAGCAGATAACTGAATGTGCAGTGTTCCCAAACATCACTGATCCCAAACCATTGCTTCTGCCTGCCACTGCCACAAATACAGTACGACTGCTACCCCTTCATACTCAGCTTTAATCCTCAGAGTTTCATCTGGTCCTTTATGTGCAGATGTTACTCGAAGTCCACATGGAATGCCAAAATTTCCACAGGCCTTGATTTTTTTCATGGTGACTAAGGTCAGAAGTAGAACCCATCAGTACTATAACACTGCACTGACTTTCTGATTTCAAAAGCAACTGTAATCTCTACAACCCATGCAAAGTTTTTCTGTACCATTTGGAACCCTTGAGGAGTTACACTGAAGCCTTGATACGACTGTTTATCTTTTGGCCAGAAGTGATGGCTCACGCCTGTAATCCCAGCACTTTGGGAGGCTAAGGCAGGAGGATTGCTTGAGCCTGGGCAACATGGCAAGACTCCGTCTCTATTTTTTTTTAACAACATTTTTAAAAGGATGATTAAAAGACTGTCTTTCTGTATTGGCTTTGATCTCCTGATGGTCACTGTCTCTAGGAATCATTATCAATAACATCAGTGAGAACAATTTCTTTGCTGGTCACATCAACACCAAATTCATTCTTCGTATCAACCAGTGTACAGTTCTAGGGGGCAACCAGGATGTCTCCAGTATTTCAAAACAACCTATGTGGCATGACTCATGATACCCACTTCAGTTTTATACCAAGTGCAGCAAAGCCAAATTTTGCTGCAGTTAGCTGTTCCCTAGACCACTGTGGGTCATGATTGGCATCATCCTTGAAAAACATCTCCATTTTAGGTGGGTAAAACTCATATCCTTTCTTGGCACCAGGATTTCTTTTGAGTAAAGAACCAGTTGCTATTCTTCTGCAAACCATTCAGTTGGAATTATTTCACACTGGGGCACAATGAAAGCTGTCTCCTCACATTTTCTGGTGAAAGCAGTTTTAATACCTGCTTCCTGTAACAACAGAAAAATGCAACTGGTAATTTTATTTGAGGTTGCAACTTTTCCTTCCAGGTGATTCTGACTGCATTTCCTGCTGTCATCTGGCCCTTAGACTGCAGGAGGACTTTTCCTGGCCTATTTAACAAACAATTCATAGACCTCTTTTTTACCTTCACACAGTTTTTTAGCAATGTTCAGTACCTCAGCCATCACCGTTATCCTGAGTGGGATGGGAGTTGCACCCATGCTGAGAGGCAGAAATCTCTGTTGTGAATATTTGATACCTGTTGCTTTATTTATTTATTTATTGACACAGATTCTCACTGTCACCTAGGCTGGAGTGCATTGGTGCAGTCTTGGCCCACTGCAGCCTCAGCCTCCCAGGCTCAAGCGATCCTCCCATCTCTTGCCAGTACCTGGGACCACAGGTTTGTGCCACCACACCCAGCTAAATTTTGTAATTTTTTGTAGAGACAGGGTTTCACCATGTTGCCTAGGCTGGTCTCAAACTTCTCAGCTCAAGTGATCCGCCCACCTCACCCTCCCAAAGTGCTGGGATTATAGGTGTGAGCCACCGTGCCTGGCTCTGTTGCCTCTTTAAAAAGCTAGTCCTGGCAGGGCACAGTGGCTCATGCCTGCAATCTCAGCATTTTGGGTGGCCAAGACAGGAGGATCTCTTGAACCCAGGAGTTTGAGGGTTCAAGTCCAGCCTGGGCAATGTAGTAAGACCTTGTCTCAAAAAAAAAAAAAAAAAAAAATCAAGAATGATGGGACACATGGATATTCAGTATCACAGCATTCTGGAATATCCTATGAAATGACCAAATAAAGGTCAGCTTTCATTTGTTAATGGGTCATGGAGGTCATTTAAGGAAAAGGTACTTTTTACAATACATCTCAAAGTACTGAATTGTTTTAGCTTGGGCTTCTATAACAAAGTACCATAGACTGGATGACTTAAATCAGGGTTCCCCAACCCCCTGGGCCATGGTCAGGTACACATCTGTTCAGAGCCAGGCCACACAGCAGGAGGTGAGCAGTGGGTGAGCGAGCAGCCTGAGCTCTGCCTCCTGACAGATCAGTGGCAGCATTAGATTCTCATTGGAATGCAAACCCTATTGTGAACTGCAAGCAAGAGATCTAGATTGTGTACTCCTTATGAAAATCTAATGCCTGATGATCTGAGGTGGAACAGTTTCATCCCAAAACCATTGCCTCGCTCCACCTATCTGTGGAAATACTGTCTTCCATAAAACCAGCCCCTGGTGCCAAAAAGGTTGGGGACCACTGGCTTAAACAACATTTATTTTTCACAGTTCTGGAGGTTGGGATGTCCAAGATAAGGAGCCAGCAGATTTGGTTCCTGGTGAGGGCCCTCTCTCTGGTTTGCAGAGGGCTGTCTTCTTGCTATCTCCTCACATAACGGAGAGAAAGTTCTATAAATTAGTTATCTTTATAAGATTACTAATCCCATCATGGGGCACCTCTCTCATGACCTCTTTAACCCTAATTACCACCCACAGGCCTCACTTCCATACACTATCACATTGGAAGTTAGGGCTTAAATATATGAGTTCAGTCCACAACATAAGCTGCATGATTGATGAGACTGTTCTTTATTCTCCTTTAGTTTCCAAACACTGCCAGCGATCCCTTACTCAGAAATGTCTAGCCAATTTGAGCTAAAACACTTGTGCGTGAGTCAGGATTCAGAGGTACAGGCACTCCATTTTTCTTATCCCTCCTGTCACTGTTTCTGAATTGTGGAACTCAGTTGAATGAAATGGACTAGGAAAAGCAAGAAGAAAGTATTGTTTAGAATAGTTTGTCGTGGGCCCCTGCTTTGTTACTGTTAGAAGCACCTTTAAGGCAGTGACTGTTTACACTATTTTAGGGCAGCTCGCCTCTATAGCTGCTCTGCCTTTCATCAACAGAAACAAACTCAGTTCAGGTACTCTTTATTAAGCAATTCCTTCCTTCTGATGTACACTAAAAAATGCATTTAGTTACACTGAGATGCCATCTGAAGAAAAATAAACTATTTCTCTTTCAAGGGTCATCATATCTATAATAGGTGGTTTATAGTAAGTAGCTTTCTCGTTTCCTGGGGCAAAAGAAGCTTCAGAATTTTTCTTAACCCTCTCAGTTTTCTGGGGAAAGTGGCTAAACAAATTTCCAGCTTTTCTCGGGCTTCCCCTCCTCACTAAATAACAATGATAGAGTTCTGAGATGGACCAAGAGTAGGAAAAAGTGGGTACAGTTGGAAACTGAGGATCTTTCATTTGTAATCTGTGCGTAAAATATGGAAGTAAAGAGTAACAAAAATTAGGAGGTGAGGGCCTCAGTTTGAAGATACAGTTGATTTGGTTTTTGTTAGAGATGGGGTCTTGCTATGTTGCCTAGGCTGGTCTCAAACTCCTGGCCTCAAGTGATCCTCCCGCCTCAGCCTCCCAAAGTGCTGGGATTATAGGCCTGAGCCACCATGCCCAACCAGCAACAGGTTTTATATACCTTGAGAAAGTTAAAGGGGAGTCCAAGAAGACTAAAGTTTTGCTGTTGCTATCTAGAGCTCTTGAAAGCTTCTGCCACTTGTGATCAAAGAACAGGAATGCATGTTGTTTGTGTCCGGGAGCAATGCCACACCTATTTGAGTCTATTGCAACTCAAACTAGAGGAAAGCAGAATCCCCAATAATTTCAATTTGTGCCTTTCACAGTTTTTTCCTCATTTATTTAGCGAATTTGTATTACACCTACTCAGTATTGTAAAACTGCCATTTCAGGACAAATCATGTTTAGTTAAGAGGTTCTAAAATTATGGAAAATAAAGAGCATTGGCTGCCCCAGACAAGTTCCAAAGTAAAAATTAAATATCCCTTGATTGCTCCATTACCTCCCAGGCTGGATTAGGTCCCTTCTGTGCCAAGTGATAACTGTTTCTTGCCTGTCTCTAACTGCATGTTTGTACTGTATCTCCCAGGACAGTGTGATCTCCTTGAGGGCAGGGTCTGTTTTTCAGATTTCTGTATCCACAGATTAGAGGTTCTCATAATAAATGTATTTAATGAAGTAATGAATCTGATCTCTGATATTTTCTTTATCAATTATTCTCCTTGTTTCAGAAACACTTTTAATTTCTTAAGAATTTCTTTTAGAAATCAAGAGGAATACATAATGGATAATTTCACTTATATGAAGTTCTAGAAGAGGAAAATCTATAGCAGGAAAAAAAAAGAACAGTGGTTCCCTCTGGGAGGATAGGGGCAGAAGTTCACCTGGAGGAGGCAGGAGAGAACTTGCTGGGATGGTGCTCGTGGTCTATATGTTGACAGGAGTTTGGGTTACAAAGGTGTATACATTTATATAAATTTAAGTAATGTAGAGTTAATCTGTGTACTTCATTGTATGTAAATTTTATAACAACAAAAAAACAAATTTTAAACTCTAGTCAATGATGTGCATGTGAGGACTTTTAGAAGAATGAGTACAGGTGTCAGCAATCTAAAATGCATCAAAAAATAAGATGGATTAGGCTAGGCGCAGTGGCTCGTGCCTGTAAATCCCAGCACTTGGAGGCCGAGACAGGTGGATCACCTGAGGTCAGGAATTCGAGACCAGGCTGGTCAACATGGTGAAACCCCGTCTCTACTAAAAATACAAAAATTAGCCAGGCATGATGGTGGGTACCTATAATCGCAGCTACTTGGGAGGCTGAATCAGGAGAATCACTTGAACCTGGGAGACAGAGGTTGCAGTGAGCCGAGATTGCACCACTGCACTCCAGCCTGAGTGACAGAGAGAGACTCCGTCTCAAAAAAAAAAAAAAAAATTAAGATGGACTGATGGATCTAGTTAGTTAAGGGATAAAATAAGTAAAATATTAATGGTAAAACCTTGGTAAACAATGTTCACTGTAAAATTCTTTTAACTTTCCTATTTGGATATTTTCATAATAAAATGTTGCGAAAAAGCATTAGGGGATTTATCATTATTGCTGAATACTTGAGAAACTCAGTTTAACTCTTTTAGTATGCTATTCTTAGATTGCTATGAAGTTATAAGATACCACTGAAATACTTGCAAGAAGGGAATACAAGCCTGTGGCCTAGCAATTTACTTGTCTTCCCCACTAATGATAATAATACAGCAGTTCCCTCCCACTCAGGTCTGGACTATCCCCCCCGCCCCGCCGATTGTGACAGGGCTGGTGGCTAAAACAGAGGCTAATCTTTCAAACATTCTTTCCTGCTGGGCGTGGTGGCTCCCGCCTGTAATCCCAGCACTTTGGGAGGCTGAGGCAGCTGGTGAGGTCAGGATGAGCGAAACCATCCTGGGTAACATGGTGAAATCCCGCCTCTACTAAAAATACAAAAAAATTAGCTGGGCGAGGTGGCGGGCGCCTGTAGTCCCAGCTACTCAGGAGGCTGAGGCAGG